TGGAGCTGGGGCGGGGGGCATCAGTGCTGGGGATGCCTCACCGTGGCCACCACCTCCAGGGACACCTCACTGTGGCCACCAGCTCTGGGGACCCCTCACCAACATGGGTGAAAGCTGCATGGACACCTCACCGCAGCCACCAGCTCCAAGGACCTGTCACCACCTCCAGGGACACCTCACCGTGGCCACCAGCTCTAGGGACCCCTCACCAACATGGGTGGCAGCTGCAGGGACACCTCACCACCAGCTCCAAGGACCTGTCACCATCTCCAGGGACACATCACAGTGGCCACCAGCTCTGGGGACACCTCAGTGTGGCTACCGCCTCCAGGGACGTGTCACCATGGGCACCAGCTTTGGGGACATCGCACCAACGTGGGCACCAGCGGCAGGAACACCTCATCGCCATGGCCACCAGCTTCAAGGACATGTCACCAGCTCTGGGGACACATCACCACAGCCATAACCTCCAGGGACACCTCACCACAGCCACCAGCTCAAAGGACGCGTCACCACTACAGGCGCCATCTCCAGGGACACCTCAGCACCATGGATACCACCTCACCATGGTCACCAGCTCTGGGGACATCTTGCCACAGGCACCAGCTCTGGGACCTGGCACCAGCTCACTGTGCCCATCTCTGGGGACACCCCACCATTGGGCACCAGCTCCAAGAATGTCACCACCATGGGTACAAGCCCTGGGGACACGTCAGCATGGGTACCATCTCCATGGACAGACACCTCACCACCATGGCCACCAGCTCCAGTGACACCTCACCAGCATGGCTACCATCTCTGGGGACACCTCACTGCAGCCACCAGCTCCAGGGACACCTCACCGTGGCCACCATCTCTGGGGACACCTTATCACGGGCACCATCTCCATGGACAGACACCTCACCACCATGACCGCCAGCTGCAGGGACACTTCACCGCAGCCACCAGCTCTAAGGACCTGTCACCACCTCCAGGGACACCTCACCATGGCCACCACCTCTGGGGCCACCTTACCCCAGTCCCTGAGGACATGTCACCGTGGCCACCAGCTCCAGGGACACCATCTCCACAGCCACCACCCCCACCCCGGGGGGTGTCCCCCTCCCCACCTCGGGGGCACCCGGTAGGTGCGGAGGGTCCCACCTCCCCCGTGGGCTCCGTCAGG